TGAGAGCAGACTGTCACACATAGGACAGGTGCCAGGTATTCGGTTCTCACAAGAATGCCAGGAAGACAGATCATCATCTCCACTTTATAGATGAGTAAACTGAAGCACAGAGAGGGCAAGTCTCTCCCAAGGACACAGAGTCAGTGGTAGAGTGAGGCTTTGAATCCAGTGTTTAGGAGACAGCTCTCACCCTAGCAACTTTACTGGGAGCATTTTCATTTAAAGATGTTTTGAAAGGCTGGGTGCAGTGGCTCACACCTGTAATCCCAGCACTTTGGGAGGCTGACGGGGATGGATCGCTTGAGCTCAGGAGTTTGTGGCCAGCCTGAGCAACATGGCAAAACCTCATCTTTATAAAACAAAACAAAACAAAACACAACACCCCAAAATTAGCTGGCTGTGATGGTGTCCGCCGGTAGTCCCATCTACTTCAGGGGCTGAGGTAACAGAATTGCTTAAGTTGAGGAGGTTGAGGCTGCAGTGAGCAGTGATCACGCCAGCCTGAGTGACAGAGCAAGACCCTGTCTCAAAATATATAAATATATAAATCAATAAAAATAAAGATGTTCTGCAAGGCAGTAATTCTTTTGAAATGCAAACATCAGGCTGCGCGGTGGCTCATGCCTGTGATCCCAGCACTTTGGGAGGCCGAGGCAGGCGGATCACCTGAGGCTGGGAGTTCAAAACCAGCCTGGCCAACACGGTGAAACCTCGTCTCTACTAAAAAATACAAAAAAATTAGCTGGGTGTGGTGGTGGTGCACCTGTAATCTCAGCCACCTTGGAGGCTGAGGCAGGAGAATCAAGTGAACTCAGGAGGTGGAGGTTGCAGTAAACCAAGATGGCACCACTGCACTCCAGCCTGGGCAACAGAGTGAGACTCTGTCTCGAAAAATAAAAAAGAAAAAAAACAAAAAAAAGAAAAAAAAAAGAAAAAAACCGCAAACGTTGCATCCAGTTTCGTGGGGGCACACTTCCAATCTAACATTGGAAAGGGCCACTAAAAGCCACCTATCTCTGCCTGGTGTGAACACTCAGGAAAATGAGCAGTGGGGAAACTGCCCAAATATTCTGGGGCTTGGAGTCTGGCTGTGCCCTTAACCCTCTGACACAAGAGCTACCACCACATGGTGCCCATGTAAGTGGAGCCCCTACATTAAAAGCTTGAGAAAGTTCGTCTCTTTTCTAGTCTCTATCCTGCTGATCGGGTCAAGAAGAACGTCTTGGTAGGCGCTACTTCACCTTTAACATCTCTTCCGAAACTGCCCATCACCTTTATTACAGCAAAGACTCACCGGCTTCGTGGGGGGCAGCATCTTGCTGAAATGTAAAAACATTGGTTTTCACTGTGTTTGGTTTGGAGGTGAACTTTTACCGAAGGCAATGGGTATTGGTTTTTCCTTTACAGTCAGAATTTAGGTGTTCCTTTTAAAGTAATATTTAAGCTTCAAAAATAAGTCCAGTTAAAGAAATTCTCAAGTCACAGATCAGAACTGGGATGCTGCAGAAATTCTCCTGCTCCAGGCCAGAACCATGTCTTAATCCTCTTGGTGTCTCAGAGCCTGTCGGAGCCCCAGAGGCGCCCCAGAGTCTCCCCAGAGGCTGGCTCAAATTAAGCCAGTAAACCCTGGCAGAGCCCACAGATTCTACAGTGTCCCTGAACAAAGGACATCTGTGAGCAAGACCACCTCCCCGTGCCTCTCCCTCTCTTATTCTTTTGGAGCGGAAGGCCAGCAAAAGTCAGCTGGTCTCCAAGGGCCATGGAAACACAGGGATATCCCCAACTACTCTGAACATGTATTGATAATGTAGGCCACTCACGGACTAGCATGGCCCTAGTTCCCCTGGGCATTTGACACCTCAGGAAGTCAGATGCATGCAGGGAAAGGGAAATCGAAGACACGCGGTACAGTCCTGACCCCGCAACCCTGAAATAAGGAAACAGAACAAGCCCCTCGTCTTGTGTGCCTGGGACCCGTCCTCCCAACCAGACCCTAATGAGGATGGAAGGCTGTTTGCTGCCCTGGGACTGGAAGGACCCTGGGATTATCTCAGTCGAGATGTCTCCAGCCCAGAGGACCGTCAGAACTGCTGCGCGGATGAGCAGAAAATAGCAAATGATAAATTTTTTAGGACCACCTGCTGTGTGCCAGTTGTAGCAGACTGTGAGATAATGTATTGGGCTTTTTTGGGACATGCATTATTGATCCGGGTCTGTCTAGTGGTTTATAAAAAGCCTGTCATCCCCCTCCCATGACCACTTTCCCATCCCTCACTCCTGGAGGAAGCTCAGCCTCCTTTAAAACCCAGCACTGCTTCACCGGATCAGTGCTGCTGGTGGAAGAGGTCTGGCTTGTTTGCAGAGCTCAAGACTTGTAGGCTCTGATCTATACAGTGTAATGACACTGGGTAAGAGCTGACAGAGGCCGCTGAACACCAGGGGCTCTAAACCCATCACATCTACCTCCTGGAATTTATCCTTCAGAAGCACTCCCTTGCCTGTGCAAAGATGCATGTTTAAATTTCCAGCAACAACATCTGTAACAGTGAAAGACTAACAAACATACATACTACCAATCTGGAAACAACTCAATATCCATCCCAGGAGTCTGGCTAAATAGAGCAGTGGTTAAAAGCATGGGTTCTGGGTTCAAATATTGTTTTTCTCTTTTGTTCTGAGATGGGGTCTTGCTCTGTTGCCCAGGCTAGAGAGCAGTGGTGTGACCTAGGCTCACTGCAGCCTTGACTTCCTGGGCTCAAGTGATCCTTCCACCTCGGCCTCCCATTAGCTAGCTGCTACTGTAGCCAACCACCATCCTTGGCTGATTTTTCCATTTTTTTGTTGAGATCGGGGCTCACTGTGTTGCTCAGGCTGGTCTCGAACTCCTGGCCTCAAGCAATCCTCCCTCCTCGGGCTCCCAAAGTGCTGGGATTTCAGGCGTGAGCCACGGCACCCAGTTCAAATCTTGTTTAATCACATTTTAGCTGTGAAAACCTGGACAAGTGGCTTCTCTCTGCCTCAGTTTTTCCATCTGTCAGAAGGAGAGAAGAAACCTCTGTATCTTAAGCCAGCCATGACTTTCACTGCCCTCCTCTCTTCTGCGTTTACTCCATAACCGTGGCTCCTTTCCTTGTATCTGCATACACCATTGGTTTCTTTTATCTGCATACACTGTTGGTTTTATTCATGAATCACAGACACAAAATGCGGTCAGATTCAGACATGAGACTTGTCTGGATCATGCTGCGGTAGTAAAAATATATTGTTCCTAAGAGTGGGTATTCAGATATCCACCTATGCATTCGGGCCCCAAATCTCGGAGTTGCCCTTGAAACTTCTCTTTTCCTTAACCCACATACCTAACCCATCCACCAGTTTATTTCCCAAACACACATCAGGTGGGACCCCATCTCAGTGCCCAGGTCTGAGCTTCCAGCATCACTACCCTGTCATGGCACTGGCCTCCAAATGGGTGTCCTGTTTCTGCCCTTACCCCCTGCAATTTCATTTCATCAAAAGAGTCGGGGTCCTGTTGGAACCTAAGTGAGGTGACGGCCTTCCTCTTTTTCAGGCATCCTCATGCATGTCTGCTTCACTAAGAATCAAACTCAAAGCCCCCACCATGGCCACAAGGCCTGGTGCGACCCGGCCCAAGTGGACTCCTCAGCCTCATCTCTCTCCATCACGGCCCCAGCTCCCTCCACTCCAGCTTCCTGCCACTTTTTTTTCTTTTGCTCCAAACCACCAAGCTCATTTCTATCTCAGTATCTTTGAATTTCCTGCCCTCTCCACCTAGAATGAACCTCCCTCCAGTTCTCTGGCTCCTGACACAGTACACTGAATGGAACAAATGCTTAATAAACATCTGCTGGATGAATGAACGAACGTGCAGGGCATCGGAAATTCCTAGGCATGACTACAACCGAAACAGTGTGGGGGCTACATGATGTGAGACTGAGAAGCCCTGAGGTCCAGGCGTTGCCTGCAAGACTTCGCTGCAAAATTCTGTAACAAACAAAACACACCTCTCTGGCCACAGTCTGCAGACTCTTCATGGTTATCAAATGCGGCTCATTCTAAATGCTACTGGGAGACAGGTATCCTATGTGTCAAACTGTCAACAAAAGCTCTGGGCTCTGATTGCTTCCTGGCTACAAATTCTTTTTGCACGGAGAAGCTCCCAAAGAAAAAAAAAAATCTATACTTGTGATCATTAATACAAAGCATTGCAAGAAACAACTTGGTTCATGTAAATTACCTTTTCCTGGTAGCTAAAAGACAAATTCAGGTTGCCGAGGCTAACCTAGTCAGCCTTTCCATTTGTTGCCACCAACAATGTGCTGTTATCCTTTGAGAGTGGACAGAGGCTAAGGGACTGCTCTTCACCGGATCAATGACTGGTAGTCTTTGCCACAACCCACAAGAGCCTCCAAAATCTGGTTCCAGGCGCATGTCTCATATATATTTATTTATTTTTTTTGAGACAGAGTCTCACTCTGTCACCCAGGCTGGAGTGTAGTGGCATAATCTCCACTCACTGCAACCTCTTTCTCCCAGATTCAAGTGATTTTAGTGCCTCAGCCTCCCCAGTAGCTGGGATTACAGGCACGTGCCACCACGCCCGGCTCATTTTTGTATTTTTGGTAGAGATGGGATTTCGCCACGTTGGCCAGGCTGGTCTCGAACTCCTGACCTCAGGTGATCTGCCAGCCTTGGCCTCCCAAAGTGCTGGGATTACAGGAGTGAGCTACTGCGCCTGGCCTGTTTTAACTCTTTGGAGAAATCCAGGAACGGCTCTACAACTGGAGAACGGTAGAGACCTTAACCTTGAGGACCCAGTTGTGACCCCAAACACATTGGGGTAGCCCATGTTTTGGTTTCAATGTACTCAAAGGTGAGCTCTACAAGTCATCACCACGGCCTCGCCTCCGGAGCCTCCGCCTGGCCCAGGGACCCTGCACTGTGGGGCCAAGGTGCTACCCTGGGGCCCTGAGACTTACCCAGCTCCACATCCTGGTCGTCCGTCAGCACCAGGATGATGTTGGGGCGGATGTTCCTGCGTTCCCTGTGAAACCTGTCTCTTATGGGGAAGTACTTCAGGAAGGCCGAGCTTCCAGCCAGCAGGGAGAACACAGTTGCGGACAGCAAGCACAGCATGAGGCTCGGAGAGCCCATCTTTTCTTTGCTGATCTGGTCCTTCTTTCGGGATGCAGGAGTCTGAAGTTGCGTCTGTGGCTCTGTTTCTTGTCCCTAGTTCCTCTTTACTCGCAGATCTAGAGGAGGAGGAAGAATCAGGTCAATATTTATGTCAAGGCTGCCGGCTGCTCATTCTTGCATAATGATTTGTACGGCGGCTGGCACGAACAATGGGAGTTTCTTTGAACGGGTGGCTGTGGCAGAGTGAAAACCGAACTCCGCTGAAGTTAGCAAACTTTACAATTTGCTTGCTCAACAGACTGGCAGAAAAGGCTTCTGTGGCCACTTCTGCAGAAAGAATTTCTTCCCTGGATCCAGTGAGCCTCTGATGTGTCGGTGGCAGCCCGAGACCCGAGTCAAATTATCAGCCCGTCTCTGAATAACCCGCCCAGTTTCACAGACAAATCGTCTCCAGGGAGAGGAACAGCAGTGGGCTGGTCTCAGGAAGCCAACACTTGTGGTCTTCTCGCATCTGCCTGCCCCGTGGGTTAGAGAGCTGAGGGAGATGAAGACCCAGCAGCAGGGGATTCAATCAGGGGTTTCAATAAGAACCCAGAGTTGGATGTTTTGGGCTGGACAACTGGCATGTTCAAATGCCAGATCCTCCACTCACTGGCTCAGTTTTTCCGTGAGCAGGCCAGTTTAGAACCTCAGTTTCCCCATGAATACAATGGCCGTCATAAGACAGGGCCATTATAAGATTTCAGTTCGCTGGGGATGTGTGTGAAAACACTTTGTTAAGGGATCTTGTAATTGGACAAAAACGTATTCCTATTCGTTTTTTTTTTTTTTTTGAGACGGAGTTTCACTCTTGTTACCCAGGCTGGAGTGCAATGGCGCGATCTCAGCTCACCGCAACCTCCGCCTCCTGGGTTCAAGCAATTCTCCTGCCTCAGCCTCCCTAGTAGCTGGGACTACAGGTGTGCGCCACCATGCCCAGCTAATTTTTGTATTTTTAGTAGAGACGGGGTTTCACCATATTGACCAGGATGGTCTCGATCTCTTGACCTCGTGATCCACCCGCCTCAGCCTCCCAAAGTGCTGGGATTACAGGCGTGAGCCACTGCGCCCGGCCCCTATTAATTTTTTTTTTTTCAGATGGAGTTTCACTCTTGTTGCCCAGGCTGGAGTGCAATGGCACAATTTCAGCTTACTGCAACCTCCATCTCCCAATTCCCCTGCCTCAGCCTCCCAGGTAGGTGGGATTACAGGTACCCACCACCACGACCGGCTAGTTTTTTGTATTTTTAGTAGAGACAGGGTTTCACCATGTTGGTCGGGCTGGTCTCAAACTCCTGACCTCAGGTGATTCACTGCCTTGGGCTCCCAAAGTGCTGGATTACCAGCATGAGCCACAGCGCCAGGCCTCCTATTAGTTTTAAGTTGCAGAATAAACAAAATGACAAAAGAGAAAATTGAGCACTAAAAGGTGAAGGGGGAAGATCTGCCACGGGCCCCTTGCCCTCAGTCATCCCCCTTGGCCCCAGGTCAGACTAGGTCGCAAGCGAAGGTGGGTGCGGGAGGCGAGGAGGCGACTCTGGCTCGAGCAGGTCTCTAATCTCGCCCTGCTCTTTGCTCTCTGCGGTCATTTTTTCACTTCTTGAGGAAATGAGCCTTCAAGTCCTGTCCAGATATAGACTTTTGGTATCATTTATTTAAAACGAGAGAGCGAGCGAGCAGAGAGCCACAGCCTGCAGATGCATGGGGAGGAAGTCAAGTGCCATGGGGGTGGCTGTGTCGCTGTGACCTTGAGAGGGTCTGTTTGTCCTTGCCCTCCATGGGAGAACCTGGCTAGCAGCTTGAAGTCACAATTCAGGGACTCAGCGAGGGCTCCACGTTTGGCAGGGGGATGTGCTGCCTGCCTCGTCTCTCCTGGGGACTGCAAGGCGGCCTGAGGGGTCTCCTGCCTCCCTCCTCCCTGCCCTCATCCTCCATTCTTCTCAGGGCAGCCGGAGGGATCTTCCTAAAGTACAGACCAGGCCACAGCACTGGGCAGGAGAGGGCACAGTGCCCCCTGCAGGTGCGGACTGAAGGGGGTGCTCGCCTCCAGGTTGTACAAGTGCCAGTCACTTTAGTGCCAATCCTGTGCCCAACTGCCGCACCTTCACTGGCAGCTCATGGCTCACGGGATAAAACGCAAACTTCTCGCCAGGGCTGCCTGGGTGTGTGAGATCTGGCCTCTGACCACTTCTCTCCAACCTGTCCTTTCCAGCCCCACTGGCTTCTTCCTGTTGACTGGATAAATCAAGCTTCTCTCTACCCCTGGGTCTTTGCACCTGCTCTTTAAAAAGTAACTCCTGGCCAGGCGCAGTGGCTCGCACCTGTAATTCCAGCACTTTGGGAGGCTGAGGCAGGTGGATCACATGAGATCGGGAGTTCAAGACCAATGTGGTGAAACCCCATCTCTATAAAAATACACAAATTAGCCAGGCGCGGTGGCACATGCTTGTAATCCCAGCTACTCGGGAGGCTGAGGCAGAAGAATGGCTTGAACCCGGGAGGCGGAGGTTGTAGTGAGCAGAGATTGTGCCATTGCACTCCAGACTGGGTGACACGGCGAGCCTCTCTCAAAAAAACCAAAACAAAAACCTCCTCCTTTGTACTACTGGTTCTCTCTTCTGTCAAAGGAGCAAACATCCTTACCTCAGGGAGGCGTGCCCCGACCACCCTATTTAAAGTGGGCCCTCCAACCCAGGCACTCGCTGCATTTTGTAACTGCTTTTATTTCTCTTGTAATCACCACTACAGCCTGCAATTTATCTTATTGTCCAATTCTTCCCTCCCAGGGGGTCAGCTCCCTGAGGACAGAGACAGGCTTATGTTGTTCATGGCTGTCTCCAGGACTTGGCACAAAGAAATAGTCAGACAAAGAAAGAAACGGAGGTTCTCTTAAGGTCCTTTGAGTTCAGCAGAGTGAGGGAAGCTGGGCTCGGCAGGGCTGTGCCATGGCCTGGGTCTACATGGCGCGGAGGCATCCATCACTGATGCCCTGCCCCAGCCACCCTCCACGGACACCAAGGAGGAGCTGGCCATTGTATTCTCTGGGCAGTGCTATGATAGAAAAACCCCAGGAAAGTTCCCTCCTGCTCCATTGCTCCCCCAGCTCTGCTCGGCACCCGGGGAGGCTAAGCTCTGCGGACAGCACAGCGTGGTTGGCACATCCCAGCTCTCTGGCTTCAGGCTGGGAGGCTGCAGCATTGGAGGCGGCAGGAAGTCAGAGGGTTTGGTCTCCCTCTCCTGCATGCAGCAGCTCCCCAGACAGCAGACTGCGTGCCTCTCTCTGTGTGTGTGGACAGAGCTTCTGCCGGGGGCCCCTTCTGGCTCTAGTGTCTCCCCAGTTCTGAGTTCACCTCTCCCTCCTCTTGCCCCACCAAGTCGAGGGAAAGTAAGGGCTCCTTCTGCTGCCAGCTCCGGGGTGCTGTGTCACTTGTTCGCTCCCTTTGCCCCGCCTGCCCCTGGGAATGGCGCTTTCAATCAACTCTGCCAGCTGCCCCGATGCGCGCCCTCATTTACGTCATTCAGGGACCTGTATCCTATGTCAGGCTGGGAGCAGAAAGCAGGCTTCACTCACTGCCTCCTTCCCAAGTGGCTCTGAGAGAGAGAGTCACCATTTCAGAGGAGCTGGGGACACACTTGATACAGTCATCTGACATGAGAACTGTGTTTCACAGGACCAGAGGACAAGCACTAGCTTCCTTCTCAATCTCTCATCTGCAGCAACATACACCTCATGACAGCCAGAGCCACTGCGGTGACTTGTTTGCTGGGCACCTGCTTTGTGCCACGTGGCATGATGGTTAAGGACATGGACTTTGGAGTTACTTGCTGAAAGCTTGAGTACTAGCTCAGGGTCTTTCAGCAAGTAACTCCGAAGTCTTTGTGCCTCAGTTTCCTCATCCATAAAATGGGTGTGCAGGATTAAATGTGTTGATACAGTGTGCTGGGGCTAGAGCCTGGCCCATGGTACTAACTGGAACCCGTAATCCACAGTGTAAACCATCATTAGATTGTTCCTACCGGTACAGCTGTGTCCCATGTCTGACACTCTGTGGAATCACCTTCAACCTCCACCAAAGCACTCTCCTGCAAGTACTATTATTAGTCCCAGAGAAAACTGAGGCTTCATTACCATCCTAAAGCCACCCAGAGAGAAGACGGCAAGGACGGGACGTGAATTCTGCCCTCCCTCACCCTTCAGTGTGGGCTTCTCGTCACGAAACTCAGGTTCCCAACTCTCTCCATTCAAAGACCACTGCCCCGATTTCTGCTGAATCCACAGAGCCCATCGATGATTATGGACTTAACGTGCTTCTTCAAATGGCCTCATTTAAAAATAAAAACATAAACACCTATGTTGGGAAGAGAAGACTTCCTATCCAAAGATAAATGGAAAGTGGACATCGCTTCCCTGTAGAGTTAATTGTACAAATAAAAGTCGAGGAAAGCAGAATCAGTGGAACTTGATTCAAATAGCTTCCCAGGCTTCGCGTGGCCTCCTGCTCACACATTCTGTCTCTTCTGAAGTGAGACTAGCGGGTGTTGAAAGGAGCCAAAGCACCATCGGAGCCTTTCTGCTGGAGGTGGCTGGAAAGGAGACGGGCACCAGCCATGGAATCACCCCAGAACCACCCCAAATCAGCCATCCTCAAACCATGCTGTTTATCTCATACAGTTTGGCCATGTCCCTACCCAAATTTCATCTTGAATTGTAGCTCCTATAGTTCCCAGGCGTTGTGGGAAGGACCCAGTGGGAGATGACTGAATTATGGGGGTGGTTTCCCCCATACTGTTCTTTTTTTTTTTTTTTTTTTTGAGACAGAGTCTTGCTGTTGCCCAGGCTGGAGTGCAGTGGCGCAATCTCAACTCACTGTCAACCTCCGCCTCCCAGGTTCAAGCAATTCTCCTGCCTCACCCTCCCGAGGAGTGGGGACTACACTACGCATGAGCACACCCAGCTAATTTTTGTATTTTTAGTAGAGACAGTTTCACCACGTTGGCCAGGATGGTCTCCATCTCTTGACCTTGTGATCCACCTGCCTCAGCCTCCCAAAGTGCTGGGATTACAGGCAATGAGCCA